GTGGCCAAAGGATTGGAGTTTCAGCTTCAGCATCAGTCCTTCCAATGAACACCCAGGACCGATCTCCTTTAGCATGGACTAGTTGGATCTCCTTGCAGTCCAAGGGACTCTCAAGAGTCTTCTCCAACACCACAGTTCAAAAGCATCAATTCTTCAGTGCTCAGCTTTCTTTATAGTCCAACTCTCACATCCATACATGAAAAGAGACATTTGGTATTATAAAAGCTGAGGAAATTCGAATAAACTGTGGACTCTACTTAATACCAGTGCATTAGTACTGGCTCATTAATTGTAACATATGTATCATACTAATATAAAATGTAAATGGGGAAAATGTGAGGAGTACACAGAAACCCTCTGTACTATCTTCACAATACTTCTGTAAATCTAAAACTGTTTTAAAAAATAAAGTTTTATTTAAAAAATATTTGTTAAGACAACTGTCTTTTTTATAAAAACCTATTCTAATTAAATGGATAAAAGTATCTTAAAGTTTAGAGAGAAAATAAATGCCCAAGAAAGCAGAAAAAGAATGAAAAAGAAAAATGGAAGAAAATACACTATAGAGTCACTGTGATTAAATCAATATGGAATATTAGTATAAGAATAGATACATCAAACTATACTTGGTCACCTGATGCAAAGAGCTGACTCACTGGAAAAGAACTTGATGCTGGGAAAGATTGAGGGCAGAGGGGAAATGGGGTGACAAAGGATGAGATGGCTGGATGGGATCATCGACTCAATGGACACGAGTCTGAGCAAACTCAGGGAGACAGTACAGGATAGGGAAGCCTGGAGTAGTGCAGTCCATGGGGCCACAAAGAGTCAGACACGACTGAGCGAGCAAACAACAACCACAACAACGAGATATATCAACCAGTGGACCAGGACAGAACACCCAAAAAACATCCAGTCTATATGAGATTTTAATAAATGACAAAAACGCATTTCAATTCAATGGGGAAAGAGTGACTATTTAATAAATGGTGCTGGCACAACTGGCAAGCCATCTGGTAGGAAATAGTCTTCACTCTTATAAATAAAAAACAAATTCCAGATGGAATAGATGCCTATTATAATAAATACAGCATTAAAAAATTAAAAGGAAAGCCAGGAAACAACACTTACAATCTGTTTTCTAAAGCAGAAAGAAAAGACAGCCATATTTGAGTTTATAAAAATGAAACACAATTTATGTGACAAAAGCTTTTATAAACAAAACTGATAGGCAAATGATAGATTTGGGAAAATACTTGAAAAAGAGGTAACATAATGAGTTAATAGTCATCACCAATATACAAAGTGCATTTAAAAACTGGCAAGAGACAAACAATCCAGTGGGAAAATTGGTAAAAGATGTGAAAATGGAATCTATGAGAACAAATCTACACAGCATGAAGATGCTCCAACTAACTAGCAATTACAGAAGTGCAAATTACATTAAAAAAAAATACATTCCTCTACACCCAATCAGATAAAAGAAAAATGAGAGAGCAACAACCAACTGTCAACAGGATAAAGAGAAAAAAATTTGTTCACAGCTATTGAAAAGCAGTTGGGCAAATATTTTTAAGTTAAAAATACATCAACACTTCAACCTACAAATCACACTCGTGGAAATCAATTCCACAAAAACAAAATTACAAATAAAATGTTTATTAAAGCAGTGCTCTTACTGCAGAAAAAAATTAAAAAATAACAAAATGAGTTTGCATTATAAGGTAATAGATGATGACTCATTTATACTGTGGAATATTAAGCAGCCATTAAAAAGAACAAATTAGTGGTATATCTTTGACTTGGAGGGGTTCTCCTGGATGTATTTTTAAATGATAAAGGTGAGATGCAAAGAGGTGGATACACTGTGATCCCATTTTTAAACAGTAAACATTGAACAAAACCCCAAAACATATGTGCACATGAATGTGTGTGTGCACACATGTGTGTTGTGTGACTGTGAATCTGGAGACAAACATGGAAGGAAACACACAAATAACCAATAAGATGATTGACAGTGTGGTAAGGAAGAAGGGTTTCTGGGGTTGAAAAGGAAAAATGGGCAGAATATATGCTATGATTACAATGATATTAAGGAAAGTAATGAAAAACTTGCTACAACATGGATTAAGATACAACTTGATAGACAAGAGTGTCCATCCTCCACATGGTCACAGTCATCTAGCATTTTCTCATTCATTGAACTAAAAAAAAATATTAGTCTGTATAATGTCAGTGGTAAAGAATCTGTCTGCTAATGACATGGGCTCGATCCCTGGATTGGGAAGATCCCGTGAAGAAGAAAATGGCAAGCCACTCCAGTATTCCTGCCTGGGAAATCTCACGGACACAGGAGGCTGGCAGGTTACAGTCCAAATGGTCACAAAGAGTTAGACACAACTTAGCGACTAAATAATAACATAATGTAAGTATCATAGTCTTCTCATTTGTGCATTTTGTGACTACTGAAAAATATAACTTTTTTCCATTAAATATTACCCCACATGTTATCAAATTGAACTTTGGACCCCACTCTTCAAGTTGAGGTATGATTTAAGAAAAATGCAAATATGTACTTACTTGTATATAAAGAAACTGGAAAAAATAAGGAGTTGGTAGTTATATATTTCCTGATTGTTGAATGTCCATAAAGTTAAAAAAAGAAGTAGTAACAGAAAAATATGCATAGTTTCCTATTTCAGTAAAAACAAGCAAAACCCTAATTATAAATGTACAATTATAAATTTTAAGTGAAAAAGAAAGCTTCAGAAAGGATTCACAAAGTCACTGGCCCAGGTTACATAAAAGAGAGGGAAGTAGAGGGGAGGGGGCAATTACTGGCTTTGCTTTTATACCTCTCTGCATTTTATTACTTCATTTACTACAACAAGCAAAAAAGTATCGCTTTTGAAATCTGAAAACATTATGTAAAGAAAACAAAACCAAAGTGCAAACAACAAAATAAAATAAATTGGGTATTAATGAGTACCTATCTCAAACTACCACACAATTGCACTCATCTCACATGCTAGTAAAGTAATGCTCAAAATTCTCCAAGCCAGGCTTCAGCAATACGTGAACGGTGAACTTGCAGATGTTCAAGCTGGTTTTAGAAAAGGCAGAGGAACCAGAGATCAAATTGCCAACATCCGCTGGATCATCGAAAAAGCAAGAGAGTTCCAGAAAAACATCTATTTCTGCTTTATTGACTATGCCAAAGCCTTTGACTGTGTGGATCACAATAAACTGTGGAAAATTCTGAAAGAGATGGGAATACCAGACCACCTGACCTGCCTCTTGAGAAACCTGTATGCAGGTCAGGAAGCAACAGTTAGAACTGGACATGGAACAACAGACTGGTTCCAAATAGGAAAAGGAGTACGTCAAGGCTGTATATTGTCACCCTGCTTATTTAACTTATATGCAGAGTACATCATGAGAAACGCTGGGCTGGAAGAAGCACAAGCTGGAATCAAGATTGCCGGGAGAAATATCAATAACCTCAGATATGCAGATGACACCACCCTTATGGCAGAAAGTGAAGAGGAACTAAAAAGCCTCTTGATGAAAGTGAAAGAGGAGAGTGAAAAAGTTGGCTTAAAATTCAACATTCAGAAAAGGAAGATCATGGCTTCTGGTCCCATCACTTCATGGGAAGTAGATGGGGAAACAGTGGAAACAGTGGCAGACTTTATTTTTTGTGGCTCCAAAATCACTGCAGAGGGTGACTGCAGACATGAAATTAAACGATGCTTACTCCTCGGAAGGAAAGTTATGGCCAACCTAGATAGCATATTAAAAAGCAGAGACATTACTTTCCAACAAAGGTCCACCTAGTCAAGGCTATGGTTTTTCCAGTGGTCATGTATGAATGTGAGAGTTGGACTGTAAAGAAAGCTGAGCACTGAAGAATTGATGCTTTTGAACTGTGGTGTTGGAGAAGACTCTTGAGAGTCCCTTGGACTGCAAGGATATCCAACCAGTCCATCCTAAAGGAGATCAGTCCTGAGTGTTCATTGGAAGGACTGACGTTGAAGCTGAAACTCTAGTACTTTGACCACCTCATGCAAAGAGTTGACTCATTGGAAAAGACCCTGATGCTGGGAGGGATTGGGGGCAGGAGGAGAAGGGGACGACAGAGGATGAGATGGCTGGATGGCATCACCGACTCGATGGACATGAGTTTGGGTAAACTCCGGGAGTTGGTGATGGATAGGGAGGCCTGGCGTGCTGTGATTCATGAGGTTGCAAAGAGTCGGACACGACTGAGTGACTTAACTGAACTGATCTCATAAGATCTATTGTGTAGATTAAATGAGATAATCCATGTATAGTATTTAGCATATTACCTAATATGCTGCAAATGCTCAATAAATAGGAGTCATTTTTATTTAAAAAAAAAAAGACTACAAAGAGCAGTGGACATTAGGAAACTGAAAAGATAAGATCTTTGAAAACGACATTGAGTGCACAGACACTCCTCTATGACTGAATCTGATGTCCTTTGCACTGCAACGACTCTTACTATAGTAACTATACAGCTCATCAAACATAACTTTAATTGACAGCACAAATAAAATTACAATTAGACAAATAAGATAATTAAACAATACAAAGGAAATGGCAACCTTTTTGCCTTGCAGGTTCTTTAAGAACTTTAAGAACCATTCTGGAGCACTATGCTCCTGCTCCTGTCACAACCACTTAAGATGAGAAATCCTTGACCCTGGATGTCTCCCTTATATGACAGGAGACTGAGAGAACACAGTTCATACAGATTGGAGAATGATGCTAAAGTCCTTTCTGAGGGTCTGCCCAAGTGGGAAATCCATTCCTGAAAGTAGAAATTCCACTCTCAACTTTAAGAATTTCTGTGCTGGTCTACGTCAAAACATGTTAGTTTAGTGATAGTCTACAAACAAAAATTGGCCCATCAATTCTATTCTTATTGTCCAACCAAACATAAATCACACGAGTGTGTTACTAGTCTTATTACTTACATGGAATTGACTTTCTCTTCAGGGCCTTGCACTTGGCCTGTCACAGTGCCTTTGCTCGTATTCTTCACCCAGCCAACCACTCCAATTTTCCTAGCCTCATCTTCAGTGTACTGGTTTCAGGAGAAAACAAGAGAGACAAAGTCCAGTGTCACACTTGATCCTAACTTTCAAAAAAGTATGGTCACCAAAAGCTCATTAATTTTTTTCTAAAATATAGTCTATGCTAAAAATTATGTAGCTGACCTCTGGTAACACCTACATTTACAAGAACCTTCATTTAAATGGCTTTTGTTTTGTTTTGCTACATTCCACATTCAGTAAAGACAAGCACATTGTGAGAAAATAAACTGATGGTGGGAATTATTTCAGAAAACATTATCCATGATTCTTTTGGAATCCATAAAACTCAGTTGCATTGCCCTCACAATCTCCTAATGCTAAACTACACTGTCAATCTGGGTTCCAAACGATGATCACTCCAAGATACTCAGTCACTGAAGAAAAATATCCAGTTACAATCAATACGAAGTACTGAAAGAGAAGATTCTGACGTTCTCTCTTGACTCTGTACTTGCCACAAGTATTATAATTGCCTAAGAGTAAATTTATTTCTCCAATCATTCTTTCTTAAAATTCCTTTTCCCAATTCCAAATTTAGTTACGCTACTGACACATGAAAAGCCAGAAACATTTTGATTTTGAATTACTTTAACTACATCACAACAAAATTCCGTGGGACCAGTCTACCAGCACTTGTTAGAAACATGCTTTTCTCCTAATTGGAGGCCAGGGCGACCGAGAGCTGTGCACTCCGTATGCTCAACTAAATGGAGCAATACAAACCAAGATGATTACAGCTAGGGTTGCTTAAGGGCTGGTTCTGAAAAAAAGTCTTCCCAGAGAAAAATGAAAAAGGAAACTATCTGAATTGCAGGGGAGGGTCTATCTCAAAATACGGAGACTCGACTTACCGCAACCTGTTCAAACTCTCAGAGGTTAGGAACAGGGACCTAGCTAGTGACTCCCAGCTTAAAAAGTAGGTGAAAATATATGCCACCTTTAACTTTTAGGAAAGGAGTACCAGATTTTAAAAATAGATAATCTTAAAGTATTTTAAAACAAGTAGATATTTTAAAATAAATATTTAAAAGGCAACAAGGGGTTTTAACTTTAAAAACCTAGGGGCTTCCCTGGCGGCTCAGACGGTAAAACGTTTCCAGCGGGAGACTCAGGTTCTACCCCTGGGTCGGGAAGATCCTCTGAAGAAGGGAATGGCCACCCACTCCAGTATTCTTGCCTGGAGAATTCCACGGACAAAGGAGCCTGGTGGGCTCACAAAGTGTAGGGTCACAAAGAGTTGGACACAACTGGGCAACTACCACTTTCTTTCACCTTGGAGTCACTTCCTTATTCAACATGGGCATTTCTCATTCTGCATTTCAAGATGTGTATCCTTGTTTGGAAAGATACTTCCATCCTGGACAAGTGGAATTTCCCACACTTTGTATTAAACATGTGTGTGTGTTTGCTCAGGCACTTCAGCATTAAGCATATATAACCAAAATGTTTAACTGGATCACCCCAGAGAGGAACTTTTGAAATTCACAGAAATATTAATGAAAAACTAGGAAGGCTGTAATGGACTACTAGTCTGTAACTAGTCTTTTTTTAATAGACTGCTTTTAAAGACAGTCTTCATAAAAATCTCAGCCAGTAATTTGAAAGAAGTACAAATATTTCCTCATTCACTGTCAAGGACAAGATTAGAACTAAGTACATAGATAACTGCTCTGTCTCTGTAACTAGAAATAACAGTGGAGGGAGGGCAGAGACGGCAGAAAATAATAAAGAGATTGTACTGACTTACCATCCTGAAGCAAACACCTGTATGAAAGAAAGATGAAAAGAAATGTTAGTTTGTCTACCTTTAAAAAACTTATATATTTCCTGACTTAGCTTTCTAGTTTATTAAACAGTAAGTAAATGAAATAAACAAAACCTTTAACATCTGAATGCCTTCAGAAAGTGCTTTTTAAAAAATTCTTTCCTTTTAAAACAAAAAGAGAAAAGAAAGACTATTTTGGAGAAAAAGAACAATGTCCTGAAACCAAAATACAATGAAATGCCAAACTGCACATCATTCTATTAAAATGCTAAATAAAACAAAATAATTACAACAAGAAGAGCTGAGTATGCTGGCATAAAATTTACCCACCCTCAACTTTTAGAATGATTTCTTTTAAGGCAAGGACTAAATTCAAGTTTAAATGTAATAAAACATTTCTATTTTAATTCCACATTCTGGAAAAGACAAAACTACAGAGACAGGACACTGATCTGTGATTGCCAAGGGCTGGGAGTGAGGAGAAGAGGGGTGCCAGGAAGGAGCACGAGGGAACTTTTGGGGGTGATTGGACTGTTTTATGTCTCAGATGTGCTGATGGTGCTTACATGACTTAGGCATCTATGAAAATTCATTCAACTGTACACTAAAAAGGGTAAATATTACCGAATGTAAATTATACCTCAATTATTAAAAATTCGAAAAAATATTGGCAAATCACAGGGGATAGATCAAATCAATTTCAGAGAGGTCAATTGCTTTTCCAAACAGCAATTGAGCCTGGTTAAAATGATACAGAAGATGAGACCAGTGGCTTAGATAATTTTATATAGTTTTGTAAGCAGATTTATAACAAGGAATATTATTTGTTTCCTGAGGGGAGTGTACTGTGGTACCAGATGAATATGAAGAAAAAGAAAAAGTTGAGCAATAAAGACTGGGTAGTATCACAAATGAAATGTTTATGGGGCTATAAAAAAGATTTTAAAAGAAATCTAAAAAATGTGGAAGAATGATGAGTGAGGAATACTGATTTGAAGGAGAATCAGAATAGCAATCTATTATATAGATGGAGGGAAAGACACAAGTTAGTAGATATATTTAAAAGGAATGGGTAAAAAACCCAAGAGAAACTTCTGGTCAACCAGACCATGTAGAAGAGAGAAACAAAACAGGCAGAACTGTGGAGGAGCATGCAGTCATTGTATCCTAAGAGAGAGGGGATCCCGGAAGATGCTGACTGAGCAGAGTTGAAGGTTTGGGTCCAAGCATATTGTGCATATCCCTTCTGAGTTTCTCAACAGTGAACAGCCCCAAATGATGTTAGCACCAAGAAAAGAAAGCACATGCAACTAAAGTAAACAGAAACTGGAAACACAGTCCAGCTCTTTCCTACTCAAAGAGTAGTCCAGGAACCAGAGGCAATAGCATCACCTGAGAGGATTTTTAGAAAAATCACTTTCTCAGGCTCCTCCCCCAGAACTAAAAAAAGAGAAACTCTGCAGGTTGCATCCAGGAATCCAGTTTTAACATGCTCTCCAGGTAATTCCTTTGCCCACTACAGTTTAGAGGTTAGCTCCACCTTAAAGGAAGGTCTGGGAAAGGCCTGAAAAGGATTTATATCTCAGGTAAGGAATCTTCAACTTCACAGAGTACTGCACATCTGATGCATTCCCCACTAATGTTCAAATTCGTGTTGATAATAAATCATATACCTGCATATCAATATTGCTTCAGCTACTTCACAATTCAGCAACACTACATGAAAGAAACTACAGACAAAGAAAAGGCAAGAAATCCCTGTGCTGAACTCTAACTGGCCTTGGTGTTGGAGCGGAGCAGGCACAATCTACCACTCAGGCTGCTCCCTCGGCCCTTACCCTCCACTGCCAGAAACCCAGGAGCTGCCGGAAAGGGAGTAACAACAAGCTGCCCATTCCCAAGCCCCACTCCATCCCACCCCGACTCCTGGTGGAGAGCGACATGCTTTCAACATTTACGAATCCCCAGCAGCCATTCCACCGTCTATCTGTAACAGATGACAAAAAGGCCATGTTCTTAATGTGAAAGGGTTTCAGGAGTTTTTCTAAGAGTTATCCAACACAGTGCAAGGTGAAGGAAATTACCTACTCTACTCTGTTAATGAAATAGTTGTTTCACACAAGTAATCTAAGAATTCGGCAACTCATGATAAACACACTATTAGACATTCTGATTATTCACTTAACAACTATTCATTAATTGTCTAATTCTAAATGCATAGAATAAGATGAGTAAATAAGATAGTCCCTGGCATCTAGGAGCTTACAGTCTAGTGGGGAAGACAGACAAAACATTAGTTAAAAGGTAGTTAAAAGGTAAAAAAATGTTAAAAGGTAGTTAGAGGTAGTTAAAAACAGATTCAAATTTTCAGTTATAAAATAATTAAGTACTGGAGATATAATACACAACATATGAAAGTCATTAAGAGAGTAAATCCTTAGAGCTCACACCACAAGGCAAAAAATCTTTTTCATTTATGAGATGATGCATCTCATATATGCACCTATATGAGAAGATGGATATTCACTACTAAACTTACTATGATAATAATTTCATGATGTATATGTCACATCATTACGATGTATACCTTAAACTTATACAGTTGTTGTTTAGTCTCTAAATCATGTCTGACTCTTTGCAGCTCTATGGACTGTAGCATGCCAGGTTCTTCTGTCCATGGGATTTCCCAGGTAAGAATACTGAAGTGGGTTGCCATTTCCTTCTCCACGGGATCTTTCTGACCCAGGGATCAAACCTCTGTCTCCTGCATTGGCAGGCAGATTCTTTACCACTCAGCCACCTGGGAAGCCCCCCAAAAACATATACAGTACTATCAATTATATTTCAATAAAAATGGGGGAAAATTTTAATAAATAAAAAAAGAACAATTATGAGTTGTAAAATGCATAAATCAGGATGCAAGTGGGAGTTCATAGGACAAACAAATGACAGCCCTTGGGTGATTTTAGAGAAGGCTTATTGAAAATATGCTTAGAATTGACACTTGGATGATGAGTAAAATTTAGCATGATGAGAAAGGAATAACATTACAAATGGAAGAACACATGCCAAGTCCCAAAATCAAGATCGTGGGTTATTCGGATACCATACATGGTCAAATATTCAAAACCATGTCATTGCACTCATTTTACCAATTATTTATAGCCTCAAATTTCGTTTAAGACTTGCTAAAAAAAAAAAATTCTGTTTCGACTGTTTCTAGAAAAATGGATAATGTCTTTACAGCCTAGTCCTAGTTATCCTAATCTCTCTACTGACCCACAGCAGTGGCCCCCTTCACTAGTCTCTTTACGTCTAGCTCTGCCCTCCTATAGTCTAGTCTCCATGAAGCAGCCACAGTGGTCTTCTTTCCTTAAGTGAAATCACTTCTTCCACACCCTAAAACTCTCTGGTGACTTCCAATTACACTCACATAAAAGATACTCTGGTTACCACAGCCTCCAGGTCCCTGTCCCTTTCTAATCTCTGTCTCACCTCTTATGACTCTCCTTTGCTCATTCCATTGCAGCCAGATTTTTCTTCTTTGTGCCCCTCAAAATGCCAAGCATATTCCTGCCTCAGAGCCTTTGCATTTACTGCTCCCTCTGCCTGAAATGGTCTTCCCTCTGCTCTCCTCACAACTGGCTCCTTCTCATCATTCTTGTCTCTGCACCAATGTCATCTCCACAGAGAAATATTCCCTAACCAAATTTCTCTAAAACAGCAGTGCACCCCTATATACTTCTGGGATACGCATAACACCAATTACTGTATGGTATTATTATGGATTTGTTTACTTTTTAAAATTTCCTGTCTACACTGTAAGTTATATTTGGGCCTAATTTTCTCTGTCTCATTAACCACTGTGTCCCCAACATCTAGACCAGACCTTTGCACATAGTTGTTAAATAAATGAAAACAACATAGTTGTTGAATGATAGAACAACCAGCGGATAAATATTTAAGTGAAATGTTTTATTGTCCTGTAATAATTTATTATTAACATTACAAATATACATGCAACTATATTGATTAGAATTTAAATTTCACTTCAAAGTGATGATGAAAATTTACTGCACTTGATGCCGGAAAAAATTATAAGAATTCTGTGTTGATTCTAGTATAACTTTACTACTTTATCTAAAGGATAATATAGAGTGTTTGGTGCATGTGTCTGTGTATTTATATATTATATACTATAAAGGATAGCAAAAAGTCACTAACTAATGCTTAAGTTGACAAATTAAGAAATAGTAATATGAGTATGTTGCTTATAAATAATGGCTTAATGACCATAAAAATTGAAAAAATATATGTTTTAATTAGTTGTCTTATACAACATAGAGGACTTGGGACTAAGAAACTTGAGTAGAATATGGTGACTGTATCTGTAACCATGAATGGTAAAGGCACACACACATTTATTAAACAAATCTTAACACAGTAGAACTAAAGGACTCTCCTTTACATTTAAGAGAATTAATTGTAGGCTAAGTTCATACTGCTTGACAAATTGAGTAGATAATACAAGTGTTCAGTTCAGTTCAGTCGCTCAGACATGTCCGACTCTTTGTGACCCCATGAATTGCAGCACACCAGGCCTCCCTGTCCATCACCAACTCCCAGAGTCCACCTAAACCCATGTCCTTTGAGTCGGTGATACCATCCAACCATCTCATCTTCTGTCGTCCCCTTCTCCTCCTGCCCTCAATCTTTCCCAGCATCAGGGTCTTTTCAAATGAGTCAGCTCTTCGAATCAGGTGGCCAAAGTATTGGAGTTTCAGCTTCAGCGTCAGTCCTTCCAATGAATACCCAGGACGGATCTACCCATTGCTTTAAGCAGCGATTCAATTGAAAAAACATAAGACTGAGATAAATCATATATGAATGATTCAATACGTACTTAACAGAAATTCAGGTTGTCTTGGTTATAAATGAAATGCTTTGAGACTGAGACCACGGAGATCAAAGGTTTTCTGAAATATGTCCTTTCGCATCA